CTATTAGATGCGTTCAACAAAATGAATTCATCCAAATTAGAATTAACTGCCTTAATAAACATAGTGCTTTGTAAAACAGAAACAAGTGCCTGCTATTTGCAAGAATGTTCAGCTTGTAGTACCATTTTACCATCAACTTTTTTATTTGAACAATTTAAAGCTAATAGTATAAACGAAGATAGTGATATAACATGGATCACGTGGGAAAGAAATGAAAAAAGGACCGAACTGCAACGTCATACAACCTCAATAGCAGCATTTTTAGAAAAGTTAGATGCTCTCTGGAGCAAATTTTTAGTTCATCATTTTTACACAATTGAACAACGTGAATATATTAAGAAAATTAAAAATGAATCTTCTGAAAAGGGTACTGCAATAATTCAATTAGATTTTGCACAAAACTTCACTCTAGTATCTCAATCATCAGTTCAATCTTCCTATTGGAGTCAAAAGCAAGCAACTCTCTTCACGGTACATATTAGAATGGGGTCAGGACATCGCAACCTCGTTTTTATTAGCGACTATATGCATCACACAACTGAATTAGTATATGAAGCTCAAAAGCATATAATAGAATTTTTAAAAAAATGGTATCCTAATATAAAACACGTGTAAGTGGGAGTGAAAAAAATTTTTGCCTTACCCAATTCCATTGATATCCGAATAGGTAATGTTAACAATTACGATACTTAGAAAAGCCTAGTATTAGTTAACGTCTATAGTGAATCGAAGAAAGATTTTCAATAGAGTTAAAATATTGTAAAATAACCGAAGGGTAAGATAAATAAAATTATATACTTGCTGATTTTCTTTTCCATCCATTCACCAACAATGTTTCGATTTGAAACTTTAAATTGCATTCGATATTATACTTTAATTTGTTCCAAACTTTAACATTAACAGTCTTGGCTCTCATTGCATATGATGGATATTTTCTCTCTTCTGAATTTATGAAAAAGTTTATCATGCAAATGAAAAGTTCTACCCAAAGAGATTTAGTTGGAAAAGAATTTTTCATCCACTATATAGTATAGTTCAAAACAATTTTACCTCTTATAACAGTTTACGTTAGCTTGTGTTTTTGCTTTCAAATCTATACTTTAATTTTGAATGAATAGCAGCATGCCAGGGCTAAGGATAAACTAAGTCATATCGAAAACACCAATATCGTCGAAAAATCTAATCTTATTAACAAAATCGGTAATTTTATCATAGATGAAAGAATCTCAACAAGAAAATTAGGCAGAAACTCATTAACTGTTACAATTTCTCTAATAATATATGTATTCAATCATACGTGTTTAGAAATTATGTCAGTGATGGAGCTAGTGCTCACTTCAAAAACTCAAAGAATATGCTCAATTTAACCTACCACGAAAGTGACTTTGGTCTTAAAGCATCTTGGACATTTTCATCAACATCACATGGAAAAGGGCCCGTTGATGGCATTGGGGCAGCAGTGAAATCACGGGCTACACGTTATCTATTAAGCGGTACAACACACAATGCATTTCTTTCACCAGAAGAATTTTTTGAATACACCAAAACAGCAAATGATCACTTCGTAATGAAAGGCGATCTTGAACCTAATCGACCAATCGAAACATTTTATATAAAAGCTACAGATATTCAAAATGCTTTGAAACGAACATTAGAGCGACGTTGGCTAGAGATAGACAAGAAGTCTTGGATAGAAGGAATCCAAAATAAACATCAATTTGATCCTGTAGGTATTGGTAAAATTATATGTCGTCAAACGTCCAGTTCTCAAACTTACAAAATTTTTGATTTATATCGTCAGCATTCACCCAACTAAAGTATTTTTTAATTCATTATGAACTTACTGATAATTATTATGTTTGAAATTCCAAACCAAAAAAAGATAAACGAATCAATAGGTAAATAGCTATTCACTTTCATATATTCCTAACCCATGAGAGGCATATTCATCTACTGGGAAAATTTATCAACACGCAGGTTCAATCAAATACTAACTGATAAATTGACCCACTATTGTTACTTTAAAAAATCAAACTAATGTTTCAAACAAAATTGTTATTCAATACAGTCGCGATATTCTACAGTTCTAGAAACAATGACAACATTACACTATCGATGTTTTCCAACTAATGCAATATAGTCTATTATGACCCTAAAACATACTGTTAAACGCAGTAGGATTTTCAAGCTGGCTTGAAATAATTTGTTATTTCCATCATATTCATCAATCAGAAAATATGCTAAAAGCATCTGCATTCATTATCTTAGTTATTAGTATGCTTCCTTCCAAACACCTTTCCATCTTAAGACTAATTTTCCCCACAAAGATCTGCAAGATTCTTTATTTATAAGAAATCAGACCGTGTTAGTTTATTAAAAATGCATTAAAGCATATCTTCATAAAATATTTGACTAACGTATTTTCTATTTTTTATCGAATCTTATTAATCCAGTAAGTTCATTTGTCTGTCATTATTGAATTTTTCGTCAGATCCAAATCGAAATCACTTCGGTCAACTGACTGAGTTTAAAATAATACTATTCGACATAGATATAATGAAAATTCGAACTTTTCTACGGATGATCTTAGTGATGTAAAACATTGAATAACAAGCTGACTTGATGTTGTTAAGCAATTTGGGCATTTTAGTAGCGTATCATGTATATTGGTTGGCTAAGACTCTGTTAAAAACAGTGTTTGATGTAGAGTAAAACGAATTCTACAACATAATTAAAGAAAAAATATCGTTGAGATAATAAAATATTGAGATAAAAGCATTCTTATATGTGGTCATATGTGGCAATTGTTCAATATCAAGGTATTTTTTTCCATAATACATTTGAGTCATGAAAAGAAATCGTATTCCATAGACTCGAATGCCTTTAAAAAATGTTTGTAATCTTTGTTATTACTATTTGAACATCTTTTAAACGGACAAAACTTAATAAAATTTATGAACAATAAGGTATTTTCTTATAAAATATTAAGAGAAAGGTGTTTCATAACTTTGCGTTTATTGTTCCACTAAATCGAACACGGGAAAAATTTGGTCTCAGTAGGATTGTAGAGCAAGAAATTCTGTACAAAACTGTATATCAGACTATCTATGGGAATTCCGATTAGTCTACAATTTATAGTGTTAAAGGAGGACACCCTATTATATAGGGGTGTGTGTAATAAATGAACAACTCATAGGAGAGACTTACTTAGAAGACTATGATATGCTGAATTTAAAACGTAGCCGAGACATATAGCTATCGATTGATATATAACATGTTGGTCTAGTTTGTAGCTTTTTCTATGGTGATGTAGGATTCTTTATATTTGAAAAGTCTTGAAATTTTTCAAGAATTCAAAAAATCCAAAATATCTCTTGTCCTATATGCTTATGTTTACTGAGGAAATTTGAAAAAGTAAATAGACACAAAGTCTTAGATTAACATGCTCTACAAACTCTGCAACTATGACGCGATTTGGAGATGGTCAATGTAAACGTGGTAGAGATCCCATGGAAATACCCACTAGTATATCACATATACCAATGTGTCTTTCGCAGATATTCACCAAACGAACTTACCTCTTCTTGAAATAAAAAGTTAATTTTTTTGCGTTGACTGAAGGGGGTCCTATAATTTTGCCACCCCCTGTATATAGATATCATCTGATCTAATAATTGAGAATGTGAGGAAGTTTCGCCAGCATTGGCGAATGCCCACATGACTTTCGCCAACTGGCAGGAGTCCAGGACGTATATTGGCGAAAGTCATATTGGTGAACTTCGGGCTACTCCAAAGGGGCTGCGCTAATGAGCTTTTATTGTGAAAATGAAAATATTTTTTTTCCCTATAAATACATATGTTTTTTTGTGAAAAGAGGGTTGAGAAAAAAAAGATTATAGAAAGAAGCATAGTCTTTAACAGGCGCTAATGCGGTTTAGTCCCTAATTTTTGAGATTCTATCAATGCGTCCAGTAGCCTTTAGCATGAAATTCAACAAAACTCACACCTATGCTCATACAAAAGAGGTTCTTCAATTATGTTGAACCGTTGCGATAAATTATTTCATTGTAAAAGGCTGTTTGAAACCTAATTCTTTTCATATCGGCTCGCGTCACAAACTACGTAGTGATGGGATTGGTCGGTCTTTTGCATAGGTATCTGAAAAAAGTGACATTTCTTCAGTCCCGGCGAAATTTTTTTCTGGTCCGGGTCAATTTTTTCTATGACTTTGGTTCGGATTTCGATAAAAATGTTCAGTGGTCCAAACCCATGTTCCTATTCAATTTTTTATAGCTTCATTTTCTGATTCTTGTCTCTAAAAGCAAAATCATTTTTTCAAAATTAGGCCAACATTTTTAGATTAAAGTGCATGTTTCCATTTAGTAATTCAGTTTTTTTTAATATCTGAAACTACAATAACAACAGTACTCAATTGATACTAGGTATCGGCTAGCAACGACAAAATATTACAATCAAAAGAGCGATTAAATTGCTATTGAACCGAATTCATGTGCATAGCATATCAATTTCTCAATTTAAAAACCTGAATAAGGCTTCACAATAGTCTCAATTCTTGAAATAAGAATAAAGATACGTGGAAAAATTACTGAAATTGTAAAAATAAATGGAGGATTTCTGTCCTTTCTAAGTCACAAGAAGAAAACAAACATGAAAATACGTAGTCTGAGTCGAAATAAAAAAAGACCGGGACCGGGACCACTTTGCAGATCCCTACTTTTGCAGCCGAATTGGCTCAAAACTAAAGAAAAGAAAGGTTTATCTTTTTCTAATCCTTTAACCGAATACTCAAAAGCACTTTTTCATAGCATGATTATAACAACTTTGATAGATCCACGAGTTACCAAGAAAGTAATCTTTTTCAGTAGGCATAGTCAACATGCTGCTAATCAAGAATGAATTATCATATTGTCGTTTATCCTTGAAGAAAAAGAAAATTTTCATGAGAACATTGTTCTGCTTTGAAGTTCTGTTTCGTCAGTTCGGAAGGGTAGAGCAGTTGAGAATAATAGCTCAATGATAGTAGAAAACACATTCATTCAAGTAAATAAACTTGGCGATGAAACCTATCGACACTGCTCGAGACCGATCACGTGGTAAAATGCAATAACGCTTTAGGAAACGAGTCCATTGGTGGATCCGACGGAAAATCTATTTCCTTAGTTTAATATTAGTTAATAATTAGCAACAGCAGCGAAGATGAATCACAATAGGACCTTTGATACCATTGGATTCCGATAGTGAGATTTCATAAAATTTCAGCACTGCAATCCTGTTGATCTATTTATTTCCTAGATTCCTACAAAACTAGATCTCATTCCTATCGGATCCTAGTCGGTTCTATCGTCGGATTGAATATTCTGAGATATTGAAAAAGCGATTATTGCAATCAAAAGGAAAAGGATCTTTGCAAAGCTATAAACTTCACTACTTTTTCTGAAATTTGAAAATGAATAATCATTTAAATGATTATATGTGATAAGCTTGAAAATCTTAGTTAAGTTGTCCATTTCCAAATTTGAATCGGATAATAATTTCTAATTACATCACTGTGCTACAGACTAGTCTGAAGTTTAAAACAGAACAAGATTAAGTTAGTAAACTGTAAGCTAACTGAAGCTGGCAACCAATTGATATTTGTTAATATCTGTGAGTGCATTCTTCTAAGCATTTCCGTAAAATACTGTATTGAATGATGAGCAAGACTTCCAAGGGGGAAAGGCGGATTTGGGATTTTTTTGGGATTTTGAAAATCCAAAAATCCAAAACGTGAATGATGAAATTTCCATCTGAATTTTTTCTCATATGTAAGTCTCATGATTCGTAGAATATTCTAAAATTTTCAGCGCAAACAGACGTTTCCTTCTCAAGATAATGAATGCGCAAGAAATACTCACTTCACGCCACGATCAGAAAATCCAGTTTTTTTTGAAAATTCAATATTTTAAGAAGGAAACATTTATTTGAGTTGAAACTTTTAGGATCTTTTATGGGCCATGAAACCTATATATGGGAAGAATTTCAAGTCGAAACTACGCCATTCACAGAGGAGGAAATGCTTTTCAATTTATGGGATTTTGGGGATTTTGAAAATCCCAAAAATCTGCTTTTTCCCTTAAAGACTTCTGTTTGTGAGTACAAAATTACAAAGCAATTGAATAAGATATAAAAACTTCCTATACATTCATTAAGGCAAACTGATTTACCAAACAATATGGATTCATTTTGTTCGTTCCCTTTTAGAGGTTAGAAGAAGCCGATTTCGAATATTTAGAACTGGATCGAACCAAACCCATCACTGTCAGATATTTTCTAAGTCTCACCTGTATGAAGTCAAAAATGTAAAAACTTCTATCCATTAATTATTTGTCGATCATACACTCTGATCACTTTATAAGTTCGTCCAAGGCAAGTTTGACTGAGTTGAGTTCATGCCGGAAATGAATTACAACATAGTTCAAAATTTAAACAAATAAGTGTAATTAATTTTGGCGAGGTTTTCATGACGTATTTAACGATACAGAATAGCCTATCAGAGTCAGCAGGTTCTATTAGGCCCTACCACGATCTGCCATGTGATTGAGTACTAGGCACTACCCTCACTCTGCGATACGGGTATAAGCGTTTTCCGTCACCTGCACTCTGAGATAGTATATGCAAGTATTCCTTTACAAGCCTTTCAGTGATATTGTGTGTTAGTGTTTTTAGTATTCTTCGTAGATCTAAACCTGTAGACTCTAGTGGACTTTGCAGATCCTGCAGATCCTATGAAGCTTTAGCTTTACTAGTTTGAATGGAAAATGAATCATTCTACAATTGATTCTTTTTGAATTACTGAGTAATTCATTTACAGCATTCACTGATGGAATTCATGAACAATCATGTATTTTCATAATAGACTCGTGCACGAACTCCGTAAAATTAGAACTGGGACCACATATTAGCCGGTCAATATTCAATATCTACATCTACATGCGTGTGCAAATTTCTTAACAGTTCGTTTCAAAAGTCGAGAGATTGAACTCGCAAAGGTTACATTATTTTTACGCAAATTATGAGACATTGAGCGAGATACAAGAACTTCTGTTGAATCTGAACTATGAATGAGCTTTAAATATGAGTGAAAACGCAGATGAAGGGATTGGAATTCTTAAGTGAATTAGAATACTAGTATGCAAAAACATACCTACCTTGTATTGCTTTGTAATGTAATAGTCGACAGTAAAATCCAAAAATGCCTAGTAATGGAGATTAAAATCTAAAACAAAACAAGATATTCTACTGTATAAGAGCCTTTTATTACTATGGTAGTTACCAGAGCTCCGCGTCCCGCGGAGCTCTGATCTACATGTGTAACTCAATGGATAGATGCCCCAAAAAAGCAATCTCAATTCTGCTTGGATAAAATTGGCGGGACAGAGATGTGGTCCCATGCCGCTCAATTTTCAGTTTTATCGTCCCGTCCCGCGGAGCTCTGGTAGTTAAAACCTAAGTCCAAAAGTTCAGCAAAGAATTCATTAACAAATACGAAAGCAGTAAGAACATCATCGATTATGATAAACTATTGAGCTACTAACTCATTCAATATCAGAATACAAGGATAAGAGTAAGCTATCAGTTCAAACTAGTGAATTAAGGATTCATTATCATCATGACGGCATCATCAACAATTCGATAGAATTATGTCTTTCACGTGATTAGTAAGGTGGTGAAAACGAATTAAATCCGAAACTCGAATTTGATATTGCCCAAGATGCAATATACGCCGGCCATTCAGGTTTTTTCTTTCCCCGTCTCTGTACCCTCGGAGGGCGCGGTGGGTCGCGGAATGAGGACTGTTGCACAAGCTTCGTAAGCAAAATAACAGACATGATTGCGAAAAGACATCCTGCTCCGCCACATCCAATTTGAACAGCAATATATAATTTCCTTAAATCGTTCGTCGAGTAATTTGCAAAAGCTGGTAGAACCTGCATGTAGCCGAATGAGGTCAAACTAGGTTGTGATGTGCAGGATGATAGAGTCAGGATGCAAATATTAAGATTAGTTATAAATATACTATCAATAACAACTAACGCAATCATTAGAATACAAGAAATAATGTTGATGCATAATAAGTATATTTTACATTTCCTCCCACGTCCACAACAAGTACCTAGAAAAAATCATGAAACTCTTTCATCTCATAATTTTTGAATTCGATTGTGTTCTCTTGAGGGTGTGGGTGTGGGAGAAGCGAATGCTAATATCTATACCCACACCTATACCCTCTAGTTGGATGATCGTTACCTACCGTGACATATCAAAGGAAACGCGCTAGCCAATACGAATGGTGCTGTCCAGAAACCAGCAAATATGTTCGTGTGCCAGAAATCGACTAGTATACGACCGAGCTCTGTTAGAAGGATGGCCAGTCCCACTATTAATTGAAATATGCCCAAGAGAGAAGAGCAGCATCGTAAACAGTAGCTGTAGTTGGGATCATGGCTAGTCGACGTTTGTGACATTGTTTAACTTGTGTTCCTAGCTTAGCAATAATAATCTAAAATATGATCGACATAATTTTCCCAGTAACTCAGTCATTTTCAGCGTTGTTCTGATATATCTATAATATCAAAAGAAATGTTCTCATCAGGGGGGAAGTGCTGACTCCAAGCACAAAATTTTACTGCAAAATGCCGAAGGTGCTGAGTTGGTGCTGAGTAGGTACTGAGTAGGTACTGAGGGTGCTGAAAGTGCTGAAAAGGTGCTGAAGGTGCTAAAGGTGTAGGAAATGTGCCGAAAATGTGCTGAATAAGTGCTGTAATTGCTCGTGAATGTAGTAGAATTCTGTAAAAAAATCAAGTGGTAAAATATGATAGGAAGATAGCGCTCTCTGTTGTACGCACAATTTAATCACAATATCAGTGAACTCATCGAAAATCCAATCAGAAATTTACCCATTTCTATATCTCATAACTATATAACACTTTACATCCCATCTCATTGATTTTTCTGTACTCATGAAAGAGAGAAGCAACTAATATTCTTATAAATATAAACTTAGCGTTTATATTTTTCATTCCTACTGAATTGAATATGTTTAACATATACTTTTATTACACTCAAAACAGCATATACCATATTGCAATTATTAATAAATAATTAATCAATGGAAAACTCATTTCATATAACCATGCCATGTTCTTAAAAGCTTGGCTCCGGAAAAGATTCATGATGTATGTACTGTTGCTTATGAGAAAAATCGTCACAACCATAATATTCATGAGTTATTTCAGGAACACCCACTCAAAAGAGAAGCAATATCGCATATTGTATCGGAGTATCTCTGCTTGCTATTACTATTTATTGGTTGTGGGTGTTGATGGAGAGATTCACCCACACCCTCAAGAAATGCTGATTACCGAACCGTTGTTTCTACACTTTCCTGTAGATGATTTGCCCTTAATTCTAACTACAGATGCTAGCGATATTGGAGTATGTGGCGTGTTACAGCAAGAAGTAAATAAGCAATCTATTACATTATTCTTTATCATGAATAATTTATCTTCTATTCTACCGACTGTTTAGCTTCTATCATATTGTCATGGTAGAAACCTTCAAACTAATACTATCACATCTCATCATCAAGTTAAAACTATTTCGATTTCTGGTCTTCAATGGAAAAACGTATATGGCCAATCACTATGTCTTTTTTCTTTAATACATCAAGATCAATTTTCTTCTTTAATATCTTCAACCGCTTATCTTTTACTGCTTGTTGGAACAAATTCCTTGAGGAATTTGCCCGCAACAGAAGTCATTAATCAAGTTGATGATATTCTTCACTTTCTTTATTCTCAACATCATCATTTAATAAATCAAAAAATAGTTATTACATCATGTATTCCATGTTTCAAAATTCCAAGACGATTTGGTACAGTTGCCTCATTAATGAATAATATTCATTATTATAATCAATTACTGTTCGAACTTTCATCTGAAAATAATTTTCTTTATTTCGATTTACAAGTACCAACATATTGGTTGGGAGATGACATGATACATGTCGCGTATCAGCATCGTCATGATTTTTCTAATTCTTTTCTAAACTATACAAATTCATTACAAATGCATACAACTCTACCAACTCGACATAATATACGATCTCGTGAAGTGATTTCTCGTCGCAATGAAAAAGAAATCTGAAACTGAAACAGATTCAAAAACTATATACATTAACTCGTCAATTATCTCCTTTGTGGTCTTATACTCACGTAAAACACTATTTGAAGTACCTTGGAATTCGATATGGTAGAGTATATATTATATCAAATAATATGTTAAATCTACGATTTAACAATTTATTTCATTTAAATCATGCAAACGATATTTTATCGTTGAATATCTTTGATTCAAATAGCTTTACACGATGGGTACAAGAACATCCTTAAAAATTATTGTTTTTACTTTTCTTTTTTTTTATTACTATTTGTTATTAATACACGCTTTGTTTCCGTTTCTTCTTGATATGTTTTTTTTCTAATTTGTTATCTCATCTCTCTCTTTCGTCATGAATCATCTGTTATGAATTATTGACTGCCTTATTGTAAGGCATGTCAAGTATGTGATTGGCACTTTCTGGGAAATGGAGGTGTTAGCGTCGCTAGTGACCTCTAGTGACGCTAAACTGTTTCATTTATTCGTTTCTCGTTTTTCCAAGTTTTCGTTTCATGACGTCATTTGTTGGATAATACAACTTGAATTATCCGACTCACGTGATAGTTTCTCTCTCCCTCTCGCACGCTCTCTCTCTATATATATATCTTTCTTTTTTGTGTTTTTGTTATTATTGCTCATCGAATTGCCGATGTCTTTTGTTGATTAAAATATTTAATCGACTACATTTATTATAACGTTTTTGGTTATTATATGAATATATAATTTTCAACAGCTGCATAACCAACTATTTATGTAAGCTTGATTTATATATATAAAAGAAAGTGACGCTCAGATTTGACATCCCCAAAATCAGAGCTAACAGGAACGCCTTCAAAATCTTGAAAAATGTCCAGAAAGATTTTCAAAATCCGGAAAATTTGACAGTACTCCACCTTAAACAGAAATTTATAACTTAGTCACCCTTCCAATTTTAGGATGTTCGCGAACCCCTGCCCACATACTATATCTTTTCTCATTTCGCCATATTTATCTTTGAACATTTTTACCTTTCAACATTTTGATTTTCGACATCTATATCCATTAGCACCTTGACTTTCGATATTTTTACCACATTTTGTTTCGACATTTTTACTTTCGACCAAACTAGGGCTTACCGTCTGTTTCCCGTTATCTGAATGGCCATATATGTCAAACTTGAAACTTCAATTCAATTGAAAATTGAAATTTTCAACTTTCAACTTTTAAGCCAATGGCATTCTGAAGAATCGTGACTCACACATACATCGCTACCCAGACAGGCACGACGCTCAAAAAAACGCGTAAAACGCGTTAGAAATCCGTAAAAACGGTGTTTTTACGCATCCTTAAGAATAAAACGCCGTTCTCATGAACCCTTCATCCGTTTTCCACCGTATATTTATCGATGAATTTTCTCGCACTAAAAAAATCTTCGTTAATTTGTGTTGCTTCATGCCATTTTACCTTGAAAAATGGGTCCAATTATGCACACGTTTTGTTGAGTTAGAAAACATTTCGTTTTTCCATGTAATTCAAATAAAATTAACTCGTATGAGCCCGTTGAATTATGCACACGTTTTGTTGAGTTAGAAAACATTTCGTTTTTCCTTGTAATTCAAATAAAATTAACTCGTATGAGCCCGTTGAATTATGCACACGTTTTGTTGAGTTAGAAAACATTTCGTTTTTCCATGTAATTCAAATAAATTTAACTCGTATGAGCCCGTTGAATTATGAACACGTTTTGTTGAGTTAAAAAAGATCTCGTTTTTCGATGTAATTCGAACAAATCCAATTCGTATTAACCCGTTCAATTATGAACGCGTGCTATTCAGTTAAAAAAGCTTCTTAGCGCAGCCCCTTTGGGGCTTAAATGTTGAACTGACATATATCCCTTCGGCTTACTAAAATAATTCAAAGTAATTCATCTAAAAAATCTACTCTGATGTCCAAAACCTATAATTGGATCATTGCCTATTTGCACTTATGTCTGTAATTGAGTATTAATTGTTAGCTCATATATTTAGCAAGGGTAGAGACTGGTTTTTATGGTCTCTAATGGCACCCTAAGCTAGTTACTATGGTCTGTAATCGTGCCCTAAGTTAGTTACTATGGTATGTAATGGGAAAACATTGCTTTTTTCGTGTAGTCTGTAATTGAAAAAGGAACAAAATAACAGCCTAATTATTCAAGCTCCTAATTAGTACAATTTTAAACTAATTAATGCCTGCAATGGGGGAGAGGAGGATGGGGAGCCGCAAAAATCTCGCCTTTAAACTTACACTCACTATTTTCTTCGAAAATATATGTGAGTTCCACAAAGGATTTCGTAAAATGTCAACGCAACCAGTTTTCGTTCCCAAGACTATGCGAAGCTTTCATAGTTTTTGCAATTAACTCTTAACCAGATTATTATCTATGTCAAACGTTCCTATAGCTTATCGGGGTCGCTGAGTCGAGATCCGTTATCAGTTTTTCCCTCTGAGCTTTCATGGCTGAGAAAATCAGTCGAACTAGGGTCCAAAATTCACAAGGTAGACTTTTTATTTCAACTCCAATCACAATTCTGATCTAACTTTCCTATAGCTTATCGAGGTCCTAGGGTCCCAATCGGTTATCAGTTCATCCGTTAACCGTTGGAGTATCTGTTCATACATTATCCAACTGTGTATCTGTTTATACGTTACGCGTTTGGGTATTTTTTTTATATGTCACCAACTTGGGTATCTGTTCATACCTTACCCACCTGGGTGTCTGTTTATATGTTACCCACCTGGGTGTCTGTTTATATGTTACCCACCTGGGTGTCTGTTTATATGTTACCCACCTGGGTGTCTGTTTATATGTTACCCACCGG